AGCTGACACAAAACAAACACTACAAATATCCAATCAGCAAATTCAAACACTTAACCCAACAATATATAAAGTGCAAAATACACAGATTAAAAACTTTTGAAAATTAAATAAATGCCTAAGGAATAGTATATGAACAAAATTATTATTTATGCCAGCACACAGCTTCCTTTACTTAAATTTGAAACCTTTAGACCAGAAAAATTCTGCATCTCAGTTTAGTTGGACAATAAGAAAAATGAAAACAAAACAAAAAAAAAGATCCGTGTTCATGAGTATGAAGCGTACATAGAACAAAATCTTGATCTTTAAATGTTTCCAAAAACAAAAATTGAGTATTTAAAGAACATGAAAACTTCTTTAAACTGTTTTAGGGTTTTACTAGTCAGTTAATCTGACAGGATCAAATACCTTTAATTAAGGATCAGCTCAGTTTCAAACTTCATATGAGGCTACTTACTAAACCCTCAGTACTTTGTTCAGCGTTAGGAACCTAAAAGAACGTGACTCTAGTAAAGGTTCAGAGCTTTCTTTGGCAGAGTAGCCATGCTAGGCCACCCGTTAACGCTCTTATATTTGTTCCATCTAGTTTTCTGTGAGTCTACTTCTACATACCATCTGTAATTAACCTTCCTTCTATGGTTTTTAGGCATGCATATCGTTTGGCACTGTACCGATGAACTACTGGTTTTACTTTAAATAAAGAAGCCTATGAATGACAAGCTATTTCTGGCATCCTGCTGCTGACACCATACATGATGTTTGTTCCCATGAGCCGGAGTACGGCAGGCAGAGCAGACAGCGGTGATGAACACATCCTGTCCGAGTCCTACAGCTAGCCTCACTCCAAAGCTCTGATTTGCAGATGTTTCACATCGCAGAAGCCTCAAAAATGTCTGTCGACGTTATTGGAGTGACCACAACAAAGATGAACACAGGCCCATAAAAACCAAACACATCACTGACAGATGAAGAACTGTGAATTACCACCTGCAGATAAAACATCTGACTGACCTTTCCATACCCTGTACTCCCACTAGGCCTCTGCGGTCGGTTGACCAGGTTCTTTTAGTGGTCCCTAAAACAAAGCTGATGTGAGAGCGTTTAACACTGGTAGCCCTGAGGCTTTGGCATGAGCTTCCTATCCATGACAGGATGTCTCCCTCACAGACTGCTTTTAAATCCTAACTGAAGGCATTTTTTATTGCTTGGCCTTCACGGTACCATGAGCGTTCTTATGTTTTCAGCCTCTTTTATTTTATGCAACTTTTTATCCCTCGTGGTTTTTTTTACAGTGGTACCTGCTGTATTTTAAAGCACACTGGTCAACTTGTTTTAAATGTGCTTTAGAAATCAATTCGATTTGTTTCAACTGTCACAGAGTAAGAGGGAGTGGGATGCATCATGGGTAGAGTGTGCTGCAGTTTTCAGCAGATCAGGGATTATTGATGAAAGGTGTGTTTAACCCCTCTCTGAAGCCCCTTGCACCCTTGGCCCCTGGCTGTGAGCCAGTTGAGCGAGTGTCCTGCCTCTGGGGGCCAGTTACACAGCAGAACCACCAACCAGGAGGACTTGAACCAGAGGCCTTTCTCTCATTGTGATGTGATCCCCCACCCCCCAGTTTGCAGCAGCTTCTCAGCTTGTTCTCCCCTTTCTGGTCAAGTTGGGTTTTCATATCGCATTGGCCAAGGTTGTAATCGATTTACATGGAACTCTCTCTCCCTCCTGCTGCACAAGCCCATGTAAGGCAGTGCCAGCAAGCCGAGACAGCCAGGCAGCTAGCCGTCCCCAGGCAACAAGCAGACGTCCACTCGCTGAGAACCAGTCACTCCAGGGTCCCCTATGACACACATTAGACGGTATTCTGTACCCTGTTTAAAAAATAAAAAAGTGCTCTGACCTCTTGGCCTGATGTCAACAAGTGACGTCACCTTAAGAACAGAAAACAACACAAACAAAGACCGCTGACTGTTTCCCACACATTCAAATAAAAGAAACAATTTAACAGTCTGTAACTGACCCAAAGATGTGGGGCAAATAACACTTCAGTCTATTTACAATGGTTACAAAAGGACCAGAGAACTACATGACAGACAGACTGAATAAAGACCAGCATCGACTTTCAGTTAAGTCCTTACTTCTCTGTATTTAATCAAGAACATTATCTTTTCTTGATTAAATAAGCAACATTCCTGCAACGGGAAAACCTGGATAATCCCCGAGTATTAAGGAAAAGAGGACAGCCTCCAGTGGGAGACGAGTAGCCAGTACAGGGCAGAGGGAGGGAGTGCAGTCAGAGAGACTTTGTTGGGCGGTGAAGCTCTGAAAAACCCGGTTGAAGAAAAATTGCATCCTTGGCCAGGAGATGAGCTGTGCTTGCATTACGTCACAAAGCATCCTGAGAGGAGAGCTGAGAGGACCACTTAGTCTCTGCAGAGCCCTCCACTGGGTCAACATCACTCTTCCATTAGGTCTGACTATAGCACATACAGCTTCTCTTCAGTTACTGTAACGTTCACGTCACGAGCAGTCCTTCCTCTTCTGTTCCTCAGAGCCAAAATGACAGACTGCATGTTGTCCCATTTCATCACCAGCTGACGAAATATGATTCTGGCACTTAACCACATCTAATTCTAACCACAAAGATTAAAATTGGTGTTTTTGTCCCGACTTTACCACCTTGTGCTTCACCAATATGCATAAACCCCTAAACAATAGGAAACTAATTACACTAACAATTTACAGAGAGAAAAAAGCATCAACTACCTACAGTAAATCATAATAGAAACACTCTCCCTGAAGGTGTAGCATTTCATATCCAGTCCTCCAGAGATAAGCTCAGACCGTTTGGACAGGAGAATGGCTGCAGTGTAAATGAATGCACAGACCCCAGCTGTACCGCTGGATTAAAATTTAAATGCCAACTTGCATAAATCATGGATTAACTAGTGGACATGAGGGCCAACAACAAGCTCTGCATGTTTCTGAAGGTGTGGCATACTGTCAGGGCCATAGACTGAAGCCTGCTATGTTATAACAGTGAGTGAGATAAGAATTCAGGAGGTCAGTTAAAGCCCGAAGTGAACCAGAAGCACAAGCCTGTGTATAAGTGACACACAGCCGCATTACACGTTTCTCATAAGGCCGAGGCAGCCGGTAGCCTGCCAACAAGAGCATGAATAATGGCTACGTTGGTACTCCAGATATTTTCCACATGCAGTTAGAAGACAATAACCGTGGATGTGCTCCGCCCCAGAGAACAACAACACAACCCCCACTTCCCCGTCTCCCCTAAGCCTTTATTCACGCCTGGACTTCATTATGAAGTGCAACGGAAATCATCACTGGCAATCTGAAAGAATTTACAAGACAATGACTCAGTTCAGGTCATACCTCGGCTACACAAAGAACAGCTCAATAAGCTCAGCATGAAAAGATGCATCCTTGCTGATAACATACAGGCAAAATGTAGGCTACTAAACATTTTAGGCCACAGTGGTTTTATACACATTTTGCCTACACATACATTTAAAAATAATTTTTTTTTATTATTTTATTAGAAGTATTTCTTCTTACACTGTGCAAACCTTTACCTTAAAAAGCAAAGGGTCACAGTCACCATTTACCATTTTTCGGACAAGCTTAGAGCAGCATTTCCCTTTACAAACTAAATCTGCATTACAGACATGCATGATTAACACTATATGCAAGACAGCTCTGCACAGTATCTTTGTTTACGCCTCATCTACAACTGCATTTAAGTAGCAGGGGGACCGGCCAGGATGTTGGGATGGCCCACAGACACACACCATAGGCAACACTGTCCTCCTTTCTATCATTTCAAAAGACTTGGCTTCATATTTATGCAGCTGCAAATTTACAAAGAAAACCTCTTCTTTAACCGGACATAAAGATAGTCATTTATCGACACAAGAGGTTTGTGAGTTCTGTTTTTGTGACATTTTTAGCTATGAACAAAGGAAACCTACAATATTTACCTTAAATATTTTAACTTCTCCAAAAATTAATTCATCTAAATATTGGATTTTAGTGCAGTTTAAGATTTAGGCTAATAATACAATAACATTATTAAAAAAAAATTAATATTTATCAAGAACATCTCTTTACATTGAAAATCAATTTACACCAAATTTTCCAAATAAAATGTCACATAAAAATAAATCCAATAAATAAATGTGCCTTGTGATTTTAAAGACTTAGACATATAAAAGCACTTAGATGAGAGAAGAACCAAGCACTGCATTGCTGGCCCCACCAGAAAAAGCTAAAGATGACATGAAGCCCAAATAAAAGGCCTCGCCTGGCTACAACACGGGTAGTATGATAATAACACTGCTCTGTGATGTTCATAGGAAATATTAGGATTCTAAAAGTATTTCCTCAACTAGTAACACAGTTATGAGCCTGTGGAAAAACAAAAGGAAATGAAGTCTGGTTTTCTTTCTGTCCACTCCTTTTGATAACTTAGGAATGTGTGGTCTTCTCTGTTTAGATCCTGTTTTAGGATTATTATGGACCCTTCACTGGCTGCAAAGGTTACTATCGAGATGCTGAAATATAATTTTAAAACGTCAGTTTCTTGTTAGATTCCTAATAGTTTGTCTGTCTGTCTGACATTTCACAGTTGTCCGTTTATTTTTCAGGTTAAACACCAGCTAAATTAACTCAACCTCAACACTAGATTACATACAGTTATAAAACGCAGGCCTGCGTTTCATCAATATCTAGTTTGACTCGGTTTCGAAAAACTATTCTGAGACAATAGAAGTGCAGCTGATTACAGTCAGATCTGACTAAGACCAGGTTAAGTAGGAAACAATTCCCTGACTTAGATTAAACCACATCCACCTGTGCAGTGAAGAAGAAGCTGCCGTGGCCTGTGACCGCTTCCCCGGTGGTTTCAGCCAACGAACAGAAACCCTCTCCAGAGAAGGGGGCACTGATTTGGCGGCGTCCCTCTTCATCACCACAGCCCATCTTACCTTTTTGTGTCTGTCTTTGAAAGGTAACGCCGGCCACGGCATCTCCTGCAAAAAGTCTTGCCAGTGTTTCTGGTCCTGATCAGACGAGATGAAGACGATTTCCAATTTGTCCTTGTGTTCAGACGTCTTTTTGAACCTGCTGTAAAACTCACACAGGTTGCTGTTGAACTGCTTGCACGGGGCGTTCAGGCTGCATCCGAAGAAGAGCCCGACCAGGGAGAGCCTGGCGCCTAGTGACTGCACGTCCACCTCGGCTTTCGCGCTGTTGACGAGCCGCTCCCCGAGAAGACTCAGCAGAAACGCCGACATGGCAGCGTACAGTCCTTGAACACACAGCGTTACCCTCGGCCGAGACTGCTGTACATGTAAGCGCTATGCTCAGGCGACACCCAGCACTTCCTCCGCCTCCAGCGTGAGGTTTTAGGTGAGCTCTGATCCCCTGTGTGTCACCGCCGCTCGTCCTGTCCTTTACTGCGATGCAAAACTTCTACAGTGTGACATATTTATTAGCTACATGTGCAAAACCATTGAGCAGGAACACACTTTCATCATGACATCTGGCGGCTCCAGTTACAAAAAAGACACTTCATCATCATATTCTGTGCATTTTTAATGTGTTAAAACAAAAACAAAAAATGCAGCTCACCTCTTTTAATGTCTGAGTTTACATATTTATATCACCAAACCTTGTCTACTTTTCATAATAAAAAAAGCTGGATTCCAGCTTTGACCTCAAAATCGCATTAAATGTCTGGAATTTCTTCATTCAATAAGCGTCTGGACAACTCTCCATGAAATTCTACAGATTTCCAAAAGATAAGGCTGGAGGACAGCCCGGTACAACTCCCTCTATGCCCGGGGACATGCTGCCACCTGGTGGTCACAAGAGGTACTACCCGGGCTGCAGCAAAAGTTTAGGTAGAGCAGGGGTTTCTGTGCTTCACCTACTTCCAGTGGTGGAAATTCAAAAATTCACAAAAATAAAATAAAATAAAACTTTAACAAAACTGACAGACAGATCTGTATGTCCGCACTTTGTTTTTTTCTTAGCTCCTGTCCTGTTGATCTTCCCTCACTGCCTGAAAACCATTGGACTAAACTAACTAGCTGTATATAAAGCAGTTTAAAACCAGCTCCACATTGAGCATCTACATCATTAAAATGCTGCTGAAGCATTAATGCATGAGTATTAATGATCTAATAAAGTCACACAATATTTTGTATCACAGGGCACATTTTACTGCAGCATGAGTACTTTTACTTTCCACAATTCAAGTACATTTTGCTGATAATACTTATCTACTTTTGCTTGCAATAATTTTGAAACTGTGGTATTGTTACTTTAACTTATTGAAGTATTTCCATCACTTCCCATCTTCCAAGGTGCAAGGAGTAAAAGAGTCCTTAAATGGTGAAAAACACTTGTAGCGTAAGAGCAACTTACTTTGAACTCGCAGAACAAAAACTACGAATATCATTTGCAATATCTGAAGATACATCAAGTGTTAATTTAGTCTAACAAAGCAACAAAAATCAAATAAAAAACTGTCATGATAATAAAATTTAAAAAATCCCAGAATATTCTTATAACCAGCTACTTTGTTAGAGTAGCATTACATCTGAAGAAATATGCCAGCTTCAAATGACAATTCAGGATTGACTGTTTTAACAAAATCATAAAATGTGTATGAATCCCATCAATTCTGTGTTCATCCAGTACAGAGTTAGTTGAACATACAAAAGAGGCTCATTATTTAGAATTTAAATGCACACAGTGTATTTGCGTGAGATTACAGTGGGAGCAGCATTTTGTAAATGGAAATTTTCATTAATGCAGTAGTGCTGAAATTGAATGGTGTTAAATGCAATGTACTGTTTAACAGTGATCATGAATGCATTGTAATGTTAGCAGCATGGGATCCTTCAGTCCTCAGTGAACATCATCTTCACCAGCTCGGCTTTGAAGCACTCCTCCTCCACCAGTTTCTGAGGCTGAGGCAAAGAGATTACATGTTGGCTTTTAACAGTGCTGTAAATTAGGGAAAACACTAACTACACTTATATTAAAACATCAGTAAAATATAAAATTGTATAGCTGGAAGTGGATCTCCCATTATCAAACCTAATCTCTAAGAACTTTTCTGTAAAATATTAAACCTAAGCCGTTGCCTGTTGGAAAAAAAAAAAAGGAAATTCCAACTGTAGTTCTTCTTACTGTGCCGTATCTTAGGAGGGTGGGAACTCCACTCAACTTCAGAGTCTTCTTGAAGTCATTGTTTGGATTCTTCCAACTAAAACGTGACAAAGACATTATTAGGTGACTGATACAATGCACCACACAGGCTAAGAAAGACTCAGGAGGATTTTCAGCTCTTGGTTCCTATTCTTTTGCCTTGTACATACAGTAAAAATGATTATTTATACCACACAGGACCAGTCAGGTGAAACTAAAGACTACGTCTGTCTAGAAATCTAATATTTCACAGTCGTGCTCAATGTAACTCGTTATTCAGTTTGTCAATGTAAATGCAAACTGTTGTAGTGTATAGCTGTAAGCTACTGGTAATTGACTTCACAAATACAAAGAACTGCTTGTGTTTCCACTTCCCTTTTGTTAGAAAATCACTTCTTTCAGCTCATCCTGTAACCTAACGATTTTAATGTAGCTGTTATGTACTGTATATTACACTGTGCTGTGATAACCAGTGGTTAGCCCAATGTCACCGTTATTCCTACCGTATAAAGCAGATGATTGACTTATCTAAAAGTATTCAGAAACAGAAATAACTGATGCAGTCATTATATACGGTGTGTGCTGCAGTGGTGACAGCAGCTATCATCTGGGTAACTTGGGATTTTGATATAACAAAGAGACTGCCCTTAAGATTTGAAAATAAAGAACAGGCCTACAATACTGACTAGGCTCGGTCTCCAACTTGACAGTAGATGAAGACAGAGCCCTCAGGAAGATGAGTCATCTGTCCTCTTACAACTGGGTCGGCTGAAAGGAAACAGGGTAAATTGTTAAAAGTGCACCATACATGAAATAAGTAAGTAGCAAGAGCCTTAACTGCAAAACAGCAAACTAACTACATCAGTAAAAACTTGGTTAGGGGGGTTATTTGATCAAACATCTCAATTACGTCTACCCTACTCCGAATTAAAACAGGGGCATGTTAACTGTCATACAGTATATGGTATAATAAAATACCTGAAGTTACCTTTCACACAATCTGGACACCAGCTCTTTCCTTGGGCGTCTTTATTACCAGAAAAATAAGCAAAAATGTCCTTTCCCTTTCTCTCAGACACAGCCTGACAGAATTCATCATAGCCTCGCACATTTACTTCTTCGTAATGGGCCATCGTTTAGACGGAGTTAATGTGAAAACGCACAAACCTAACCTGAACAGTGAGGTAGGCTACTGACAAATAATGCAGAAATACAGCTCCCCTTCTCTGCTCAACTGGATTAGACCTGGTAGCAATTTGATAGTACCACTTCCGGTCTGTGCAAAGGTTCTTAAAGTGACACTGCACCTGAATGGTCAATGTTTGTAGAGTTCTTTACTTTTTACGCTTAAGTAACCGTAGGTTGTCGCGTTGATGTTTGACTCCTTTAACGATCCGTATTTGGTGCGTTCACGCAATATTGGTACAGTGGGAAAAACATCCAACCCTGCCATCTATGCTACACTCAGACTTTGGAACGTTCGTATATTAATGCCGCTAACTTAGTAGTAAGCTTGTGGCTACATCAGATGTTTGTTACCAAGTTAAACAGATACAACAACTTGTCTATAGCAGAAAATCCGATGTTTCAGACACGAAGGCTAACTAGATTACTCTTAACTTTAGTTTGAACGACAGGACCTGAACGTGGCATACAGACTGCTTCCGTTTAGCGGCAGTTTGTTATTGTCATGACGGCGTTTCAAACTGTTGACAAGCTTGGACCTAGATTTATAAAGTTAACCATGTCCTGTGCTTTAATGAATCTTCGCTTAATGATATATGTCCCTAGCTAATGTGTAATCTTCATATAAAATTTAAAAGGTACTTACAGACGGAGTCGAATAGATGATATTGAGATTACCCTGATGGTAGCAAACGTTAAATCAAAAGCGTAACGTTAGTTAGTGTCCTAATTCTAACTCACGGAGTTAACCTATGTATCACGGACTCTGATAGTATTTTTTTACAGAACTTGGCCGTTGTTTCCAGTGAAATGACGGCAAAGTTCTTGCAGAGTTGCGCTGCGAATTCCGTAGGACAGCAAAGTCGAGAGAGAGACTGGGTCGTTTCAGGTTCAACCAGAAACGTTCATAAGGGCAGCCATTTAACTACTGGAATATCCCAAACCCAGGTAAACAACAGTGGAAGAGTACAGTTTTTTTTTTAATGTTCAACTGTATTTTTGTTCCACATATCTTATGTCACCTATTAGAAGTGCAAGTATGTACACTCATTTGCTAGCTCGTTAGGTACAGCCTGAATTACTAAATGCTGGAATACAACTTAGCTGTATTTACTTATACAACACAGCATCCTTTCATGAATGTTGCAATGTTCAGTTTTGTTGATCCTGTTAAAGAGAGGTGTTGTATGGTGGCTTTGTAGTTTGTGGTACTATTTAGCTGTACTGCCTTTAGCATATGTCTTAGGCTATACTGAGAGGTATCTCGAACAGTTTGTCCACTTCATGTATATTAATAAGACTAGACATCAGGATATGTTATATAAAATGTTTAATGTATATTGGAAACACCTTTCAGCATAAGGCAATAAATGTCAGCAGCACCAGAAATGATGGCCTCCAAAACGAGGCCTCTCACTTTTAATAAAAATGAACATTATAACCTTCAGGAAGGTAGGATTTATTTCAGAGCTGTTCTATTGGACTGTGCTGGATTACTATTATGTAATATACTGTAAACTGAGTGTACAAGTTCAAATGAAGTGAAACACAGTACTGTGCAGAAGTTTTAGGCACTAACAATAAAGCGCAGATACCTTCAAAAATAATACCATGAATAATGCTTTTCTTTATCAGTTAACCTCATACAAAGTGCAGTAGACAGAAAAATCCAAACCTACACCTATGCACAGTTTTTCAAGGGACTTGGCAGGTAGGGCTCTGTGGGGGGCCATTGTAGGGCTCCTTGTTCTTCTTGACTCTGAAGATAGTTCTTTATGACTCTGCCTGTATGTTTGGGCACTTTGACATGCTGCAGAATGAATGTGGGACTGGTCACATGCCTTGCCAGTACTGTGTAATTGATAAGAATCTAAACATCTGAAGTGCCTAACAATTTTGCACAGTACTGTTTATGCTGAGAAAGCAGTGTGCAAAACATAACTGAGTGTCACAGGGACGTTTAAATGTATTGCCTGACTGGTTATAACATTGGCATATTACACACCACAGCTGTTGTTCAATGAAGCCTTCCCTGCGAGTACTGGCAACCGTGCCACCCGTGCAGGCCCACCAGCCCCCATTGTCATTGAGAGACTGCTGCCGCTCTCAGAGGAGCCTGAGAATGTGGACAGCACCAGGAGCTCCATCAGCTTCACCACTCTTTCAGAGGAGAGGCTTCAGTCTGCCATTAAGCTGGCCAAGCGAGATATGAGAAGAAGGCGTCTACAGTCACAG